GCCTTTGGATGCTACCGCCGGTGATCTTTGGAGCGGTTTGACTGGCAGTGTTAGCTGATCAGCTGCAGCTTTCGCCGTGACACATGGGCAACGGCAGGAATGGACTCTAGTCTGTGTTCCCCAACGAGACAGGGAGAAATTGGGTGTTTTGCCCCATGTTCTAGAGGTATCGCTTTTTCTGATCCCATCATTTCCGCAGGTCTTTGGTCCGTTCAACCCCATCACACACGTCATGTCCCTTCCAAAGACTTTGTGGGCGCCCCTTCGTAGCCATCCTGAGTGCGTACTCGCATTGGACATGGCACGGCCTGATTTCCCCAGAAAAAATTAGGAAGCCGGGGAATCCTGGTTTGGTTCGACCCACCCAGTGAAATGAAAGAGAAACTGTCTGCATTCCAAAGGGCAGAAGGGCGAAAGCACCCTATACTCTGTTTGATAGTCCTCTTTGCCCTCTTCCACTTTACAATTTGCGAAGCAACTCAGCAAGTCAGCATTTCCGGGCATTGGGCGACATCAGTCCAGACATCATGGCACCAATCGCCGGTTCCTTGGGCTCCCAGCCCGAAATCGGTGGTGTTACTCGACAGTGCCTTGAGCACCTCAGAGATACTGGTGCAAGGGCAGGGGGTTAAAACCCTCAAAACCCTCTCCGGTTTCAATGGCCCAAAATCCCCCAAGGGCCCAACATGTTCCCGGCGCAGAAACGGCCTTGAGGAGATCAAAAAGGCCCAGGAGACGCAAACAAACAAACAAAAATGGGCCAAAAGCCCTCCGCACCCGCACCTCCTGAGTCGCGTTGCCCACCTGCTCAATGCCCTTCGCAAGCTTCTTTTCGATGCGCCTGGGGCTCACATGCGCGATCAACAGATCAACACTATCAACACATCAACACTTGGGGGGCGATGCTCCAAACGACATCCATTGCTGTTCAAGGGTTGATGACTATCCCTATCCCGCAGCAACTCGACACATGTTTGACTGGGCTGGCACAGGAATGTTGTCGATCCAAGGTAAGTACTGCAGATTCAGTGGCTTCCTTTCATGAGGCTTCCGGAAAAGTGTTGGTTGCTGATTGACGGCCCATGAGCACGTGGGCTGCACCTAGCCTTCTCTGGCATCCTCTTGCAACTGAACAAATGGCTAGGTCCCAAGGTTAGCTTCCAGTGTTGCAGGGAGGGCCCCGTAGGGACAACAAGCACCACCCATGGTCACCCCACCTGCATGGCCTCAAGATCTTGCCCTTTCAAAGCTGCTTCGCACTCACAAAAAACTATGCAGCAGGACCTCCAACATGAGCCTCCCATTTCGGGCCACCGACCCGACCTTTAAGCTCAGATGGGTTTCATGTTCCGATGGAAACTTTCACCCTGGCCGCCATCCCCATGGCTGCCCTGGCTGCTCTTTCGCCCACTCACTGGCCGAACCCGCCCCCACGTGCCGCGGCTGAGCTCGGGGCTGAATGTTCTCAACGCTAAAGTCCTTCTCCAGGGACTTCTGGAGGTCTCCCGACTTGGCCCTTGGCTGCACAAGGCCTTCATCCCAACAAGCCGAAGTGGGAAAGTGTGGAGTATGGATCAGTCTCTATAATTTGCAGGCGGGGAAAACAAATGCAAATATATGTATTTATGGAGTATAATAGTAACAAGAACAACAAACCGTGGAGCACTTGCTTGGGCCGAAACATCTCCCACGCCAAAGTGTCCATGGCAAGACTTCCCAACCCACCCGTCAGCCCTGCCGTTGGCGCTCGTCTCACCCACCCGCTTTGGCTTCCACACCGGGTCACCAACGAGATCATGCCCTGCCTGGCGGGACAGTACTGAGATCAAGTCTAGGCTAGCCCTCCACTGTGCCAATCGTTCAACAGGGATAACCAGCAGGTTCAACGGCACCTCTGGGAAATCGTCCCTGCCTGACCAGCTCATCGTGCTGCGCCCTCTTCTGCTTGGCCATATTCACCCTTAGGACCTGGCCATCTCAGACCCTCCCAAGGCGCGATCCTGCCCAATCCAGCACCTGGAAGAACACTTAAGAACTAAGAATGATGGCTCCGAGACTGGGCAAAACCGGTGGCTTCAAGAATGCCTTGGGCATCGTCTCAACGGGCTCGGCACAGACCCCCGAACCCCCGAGCGACGCCTCGCGCGTCTCCAGCACGGCGCTGCGCTCGCTCTCCGGCAGGCTCCAAATGTTCTTGCTCATAGCTGGCGGATGGCAGGCTGGAAGATTGGAGGCTCACGACTCCAGTTGAAAGATCAGCGATTGTATCCTGCCCCGAGCAACAAACAACATCTGTCCAAGAATCTGCAGCTGAGATTCCCAGGAGAAATTCTGGACTCAAGAACTTGGCGGGACTTTCTTGAAGGGCCCGGGTTGTATCACAGAGCTATTTCCCAACACAAGCAGGATTTCAAGCAGATGTTCCGGCCTTCAGGCTCATCCCACATCAGGATGGGCTCGCCCCGGGCAGTGGTCTCGGATGTCCTCAGCGAGCAGCATCCCGAAATCAGGAACCCCTCCTCTCGGATGTTTTGAACAAAAGCCAAAACGAAACCTTGGCTCGGGTGAACAACCCTGATTCCCATGGCCGCTTTTCCAGAAGAAACGTAGACTTCAATGCCGGTGGGGTAGGTCGTGTAGTGACTTTGGCGGCTCGGGATGTGAAACCCTGCGGGTGAATAAGAACCCCAAATTTGATACCTAAGCAATGCCCTCGTCCTGTTTAGCAGTTGTCAGATTCAGCCTCCAGCCACTGGTATTCGACCAACAAGTAAAGGAAAGTACATGAACTAAATGATGGCCTCTATGTTGTTTGCCTGGGAATCAAGATGAAGAGTACGGCATCCGGTTGAAATCTCATACGCAGCCAGGCCCGCCCTATTTGAGACCCTGACCAGCCGGCAGCAGGATAATCGATCTTCACCTGTTCGGGCACCAAACTGGTGCCAAAAGGACGAGCTCTCACGTTTGGGCGATGGCAAGCCCTGCTTGCGGGCAAACGGCAAAGCACATCTTTCCCTTGTAGTGTCATTCCCACACAAGCTGCGGACCTAAACGAAGTAAATGGGTGCGTTCCCCGTGTCTGATTGATTTTTTGGGGCTTCCCATGTCCTCCCTAAACGATAGACTACTAGACATATGGTCCTTCTTTGCATCCCAGCACCTTCATCGCAGTCAAGTCAATCTGCTACCCAATGCGCCCGGGGCCCCCAGCGCGGCGGTTGTGCTTCTTCAGGACGTGCACAAAGGTTCCCATGGGGAGCGTCTGCACCTCTCAAGCCCCCTCAGAGTGAAGGACCAAAAGTTCAAAACTGGACCAAGTCCTTGGGATTGTGCTTCTGTGACGCTTTCATTTGGTGGAAACACTGATTCCTGGACCCGCTCAAATGCTGCCCGAAGAGGTCGGGCAAACCAAGTTGCCGTTTCAAGCTCGTAAAGCATGCTTCCATTTGGGGTCGGCATCTTTGACTGGTGGAACTATGATGCAGTCTCAACAAATAATCCTCAAAATATAAATCGTCAAAATCCAACATATGTCAATCATCCAAATCAAAGGGACATGTCACCCACGCATTCCGCTGACCGTAGCAGAAGTCGGAGAAATGAGCCGGAGGCTCAAAAGTATGCATTGTGCGAAAAACACAATGATGGTTGGGCTCTGTCAATCTCTGATGTATGGTAATTGCATACAATTGTCGAAAAACCTCAGCGTGGGAATTCTGCCAAATGAAGAAGTCCGCATAGCAACTCAGCTTGGACTTTGGATTTGACGAGAACATCGATGATGGATTCATGCCGCACAAACTTATGTTGTATGACAGCAACATTCAACGAATGCTAACTCATCGGACATCTCGGCATTGCTTGCATAAACATCAATCGTGTCGATGAAGCCAGCGTCTGCATGCAAATGTAACAATGAAAAAAATAAGAAACGCACACTGCTGATAAGGCCACAGGCCTCGTGAACTTGTAACATAGGCTCATGCATCTTCTGCCGAAGCATCTTCCAGTCCGGGGTGGCATGATGCACTTTACGTGTTCTCCTTTTCAGGACGACGGGGGGGTCAAAGGTGGCATGAGAAACACCTCCAAGCAGCAAAAGGTGGCGAATGTGAGGACCGGACCCCCGGCATGGCCGGCCGACCCTGCCGACCCGCCCGAAGGTGCCCCGGCAACTGGGGAGTCCAAGTTCTCGCCCTCGCGGATCAGCGTATTGAGCCTCGGGATTGAGACGGACTGCAAAGCAGCGATCCGCGATGCCCACGGAGACATATGGGATCAAAAAAAGAAAAGAAGAAAAAAGGCAAATCGGGCCCCAAAAATCCGACCAAATCAGCATAACTCTCAAGACAGAACCGTCCCAGAAGGAGCCAGTGGTTCAGGCCCGAACACTGCAACATGACCTTCAAAATGTTCTTTTGTTGAGTTTTACCCATGCGAGTGGTTGGGATTTCAAACCAACGCCCACCAAAATGGAACAAACTGATTGTTCCACCCTTGACAAGCCCTGCTTTCACCTCCTGGAAAACAAAAACTAACATCTCTCTGGGGCGCCGGGCACTGCCTTGTGCCAGCCCAGGTCCTCCTCGAAGGCGGAGATGGTCTGGACGCCTCGCCAGACAAAAGCAAGCTCTCGTGAAACTCAGGTCGCATTTCATTTCTGCCCGCTCAAGCGGGAATATGGCTAGGTTTCAAACGTTCGAAACCAAAGTTCTCTTCAGGCATGCCAAACTCTAGCACGGTCCAACTCTGTCCTTGCTCATAGAAGGAACTGGATTTCGGAAACCTGTGTCGGAGCAAAGGACACACATGGCTACTCAGCGGACAGCCGTGGCAGCAGCGCAAAGCACCACGCCTCTCTTCTCTCTTGCATTGCCCGCGACGAGTTCTTGTCAGTGGATCAGTTCCTTCTACCACTGCACTGTTACCCGGGATTCAGATCCCCGCAGCATGTAATGAGAATGGCAGTATGCAAAAATACTGGAAGTTCAACAATGTATCAAGTCCCTAGAATCTGGCTGGGACACAGGTGGGTCCTACGCTTCGGTCAAAGGTATCAATGCCTGCACAGTCTTGCGCGGGCGACAGGAACCAGTGCCATGTGCGCCAGTTGTGAGACCAGGGGCCGATTCAACCCTCTCTGCGGACATACACTGCACATATCTTCAGGCCGATGCATAACCCACCCCTCCGCAGAGCGGATGCTCCCCAGCACGACTGAACCGCAGCTGGGGAATCGAGGTTTGGCCATCCCTGAGGGCAAGTGCCGAGTGCCCAGACTGCCCGCCCCGATTTAAGGGTTCGGTACCAGGGTACGGCATCGGGAATCTACCACCCGAACCGATGCTCACACCTCAGGCAGCATCCGGCCCTCCGCCATGGCAGCACTGCCCAAAAGCCCCACCGAATCCTTCTCCATCATTTTGCAGAACTCGTCAAAACCTCAGCCGTGCGCTAAGAGGATGTTGGCAACAACATTTGCTGTTGCTTGATTTACTGGGACTCCTGAAAAAACTCTAGGAAACAAGCCAACACATGCGCACCAATCCAGCAATATGGCAATGGGATGTTTTACTGCCCGATTCCCGCAAAATGGCATCAATAGCTTGGGCACCGACAAAAGCAAGGGCGTAGGCTTGATGTCCGCATCTTTTTTCTTCATGCAGCCGAACTGGGCACAGAAAAGTGTCCGAGACTGCCAAGGAGCTGATCTCTCCGTTGGAATCGAGGTCCACATCTTCCACCATCTTCTCAATGTAGGCCATATTGTCTTCCTCCTGCTTGTGGCCATCTTGCAGTTCAAAACACTGTCACTCCCTGAAGACGCAAACTGTAAAGAGTTCATGCTGGCAACAGGTTGTCAGCCGCAAAGGAGGTGCATTCGGCCCCAAAAAATGAACATGGCAATTGTGTTGGGCTGCCGGGGTCTTTCAGCTGACAGGATGTGCTATGGCGAAGCCAGCTATCAGGCTCCTTCAGGATCTTCGCCAGCTCATCCTTGAGACACGCAGTCATCACTTTTGTAGGAAAAGGGAGCACTTACAACACTGTCAAATAAACAGTGCCATGATCTTTCTCCTTTCCCCTCTTTCTCTTTTTCCCTCTTTACCTCTTTCTCTCTTTCTCTCTTTCTGTCTTTCTCTCTTTCTCTCTTTCTCTCTTTCTCTCTTTCTCTCTTTCTCTCTTTCTCTCTTTCTCTCTCTCTTTTGCTCTTTCTCTCTTTCTCTCTATCTCTCTTTCTCTCTTTCCCTCGTTCTCTCTTTCTCTCTTTCGCTCTTTCTCTCTTTCTCTCCCTGGCTCTCTCGCTCTCTCTCTCTCTCTCTCTCTCCCTCCCCTTCTCTGCATGATTATATTTCTTCATTTCACGACATAAATTATTCACTTTCATGAAGACATAACTTCGATTGGAGCATGACTTGACCACTACCCATAGTCTTGCAACACATGCACGGCCATCCTGCTGAACTGCATGCGTTTGGAAACTCAAATTTGGCTCCTGAGCTGGTTTTGCTTTGCCGATTGCTCACACCTTGTCTGAGCCCGACCAACGCTGACAAGGATTCATCTGATAGCTGAGCCATCAAAATCAATCGCTTTGCGGGCATCCGGATGATTTCTAAATGGTTGACCAGCAAATGTGACGCCATCTCGAAAGCTGACTTGGAACCTGAAAGGTCTTCTGCCAGGGGCCTCCACCTCCAATTTGTTTTGGGAGTTCAAGCGTCGCCATCGAGCACGACGGTGCCTATGTCTATTTGTATATATGTCTTGTTGTATATGTGTAGTGCATTTACTAATTGATATTGGCTCCATCTGCAAGGATGTCCAAGGATGCGTGGCGCGCTTTCGTCATTCCGCCAGTTGCCGCTTTGTCTTTTTACAACCTTCCATCAAAGAGGGGCCGCTTCATGGGCTCCCGGGTTGAGAGGCAAGCCCCGGCCTTGGTGATCACCCCGTCGCCGTTGGTGTCGAAGACTCGGAAAGCCGCCCACATGACCTCGCGCCTCGCGAGCCCCCGAAGCCGGGGGTCCGCCAGCCCGAGTACCAGAGACTCCCCATCAAGAATTTATCAAAGCTAGATTCAAGAGGGTCGAAACCCTGGTAGGGTCACATCCCTGGTAGAACTGTTTTTTTTCTCCAAGTGGGCATGGAAAGAGCTGAGCGCACCGAGCCCCTCAGCGCCTGGCATGGGGCAAAGATACTCTGAAATCGAAGCAGTGTCCAACAGTGATTGAGATTTATGAATTAATGGGCCCTTCTTTTCTCACACAACAAACCCTGAACAGCGGTTCTCACTTGGTGTGGCTGTTCTCTTGATTTAGAGGGGGCACTCACTTACTTCCCGCAAACAAGACGAGCCACCATCCTCCATCACACCCTCACACCCCACCAACGCAAAAGGACACATGGCGCCATACCTAGCCTGAGATATTGCTTCTTGGTCAGCGTCGCTGCCATGAACTCAGTATAGTCAATGTTGCCGGAGCCATCGGTATCCAGGTTCTTGACGATCTGCACCTCTTGTCTCAAAAACAAATCACAGGGCAGAGAAGGAAGAAAAAAGCCTCGCTGGCTGTCGTGGCCCGTGCCTGTCCAAAATAATAGGCCTGGTTCAGTTCAAGAAAGATTTGACACCTGAGGCAAGTTGCTGAGGATTGTAACGCATCATGGGCCACATGCCACACACTCTCAACTTTGCTGGTCGGAAGACCCAGCCGATCGACGGAAGGTACCATCTTGTTCAAACATCTTGGAAACTGTTATGCATGCCTCATTGATATTGCTGATGAATAATACCATCTGCGGAGCAAACAATCTCGGCATGACGTAACCAAACACATTGTGGACAAAAGAATGCCAAAAAAAAGAACGAGAAAAAAAACTTATGTTGTTGTAGCACTGCGACTACTGCACCTGCACCATGAGGAATGATCAGCAGGGTGGGGTCATCCTGTGTAAAACCGGGTCTGAATCCCCTGAACAGTCTGGGCATGCATGTGCTGAAACTGAAACGAAACTTACCTCACCCTCTCCATGGAGTCTGATCCTGAATGTATTGGCGTGCAAAGGCCTGAGTTTCTTCTGGGAATGCCCTGAATCCGGATCAACCCTGGCATGTGGCGAACGAGTCTTTGAAATGTACTTGTAGACAAGACAAGCCTACATGCAAAAGCCCAACGTGTTTGGGAAGGGTCTGCCAAGCCTTCCTGAATTCAAAATCAGTGGGATGTCAAACTTACCCCTGCAACGCCGCTGCCTATCCTGTGTACAAACCCTGTTTGCCCCAGCCCGTCCTCCCCCCCGCAACGCCCTCTTGCTTCCATTGACCCTGCCCCAATTACACGGATTGCTGCGACTGCAAGCAAGCGGCAATGTCGTCAGGCAGGTCCGCCTTCGCCATCTTCATGCCGTTCTGAATCTCATCAAGGCCTCAGTCGCTCAAATGCCAGTAGCCTGGCGCGCGAAATCCCCTCAAAGGAGAATGAACCAGGCGGACGGCCGCAAATCGGCAATGGCCACAACACAATCAGCCTGATGCTCGCTCCTGGCAAGTTGGGAAGGTGTCAAAACTGGGCCAAGTGTCTGCGTCCCTTGCAGTTGCTCATAGCCATCCTACAAGGTCCCCAGTTTCGACACATCCAGTTGACTACACTGTTGAAAAGCCTCCACAAAAAGCCGGCAATGATCGACTTGCTCAAGCGCACCTTTCCCTCTTGCTTAGCTCGGCTCATGTTGGCTTGCCTGAAAGCGGTCTTGCCCGAACTGAGAGGTTGGGTCAGGTGGCTGAGAGTCCCATCCCTGTTCTTGTCCAGCTGGATGAAGGTCTCTCGAAGCTCCTTCGTCAAGGCCAGTACTGCATAAGAAAGGAAGGGCAACTCAAAAAGAGCGGATGGGCCGAATGAAAGTGCAGATTCAGAATGCAGGTCATCCCTTCGTGGATGCCGGGTGAGACTTCTTTCTTTTTTCAAAGAATTGCAGCCTGCCGCCACATGTACACAGGCCCGAATACACGCCAACCAAGCGAAGCTCTTTCTACAAGGGGTCTGTATGCTCTGAGCATACTTTGGGGAGCATAACCAGGACACAGCTTCAAGAAATGAGAGGTGTAGAATCCCTGGACGAGTCTTCGTTCACGAGGGGGCCCTCAAACTAGCCAAACCTCAAGTTTTCCTTCCAACAGCAACAAAAGCCTTTTGCCATGCATTGACTGGGAACAGCCAGCGCATGCCTGTACGAAGCCCATCCACATATGCAGTGCCCTCAAATTGGCGAGAAGCCACCCAGCAAGTGATGGGATTCCATCCAACATGCAGCACCCGCATCATGCGCTCACAAACGGAAGATCCATCATCTTGAACAATAGCCTGTCTTCAGCAACAGCAAGAAAAAACGTACAGTAGGATGAGGCAATGCTAACACATTTACATGTCCCCCATGTCTCGTTCCGAAGACCTCCTTTTGCTCTGGCTCCAGTCCTTTGAAAAATGAGTTGTATCATAAACCAAACGACCCCGGATTCATCACCTGTCTAACCCTATGCCCGGAAGCAAGCTGGTGAGTGTCCCATGGCACCCGCTAGATGAGAAAGAATGTTCAGCACAGAGAGAGTGATGACGGTAGGTGGTCCCTATATCCTGATAACTCGTGGGTTCATGTCGATCGCGCTCACTAACAAGTCAGTCGCTGGCTCTCCTTGAGGTCATCATCTTTCAGCTGCTGCGCGATTAATGTCAGCGCTACCTTCTTCATCCTGCGGTCAGTCTTTGGCCAATACACTAAAAGGGTCATCAGACAATTTCACACTCCTTCAGGTAGTTTGGGTAGTCCTTGCCCCTGTTTGTGGGAGCTGCCGGAATGAAATTGGCTACTGATGGAACTCTTGTTGTTGTGTACTGACTCATCTTAGGTTGCTACTGATAATTAGCTGCTTCTTTTTGGTCTAGAGACCCACGAAGAGAATCCATCAAAACACTCATTGCTATAAAATCGGAAACCAAACCAACCCTGGACCACCAGCACCAAACCAACCCAAAGGCGCCACTCCTCGAGTTGCTCTGGAACCGCTTCAGCTTGTGGCCCAGGTCCTCGCCACGCTCACCGCTTCATCAGGCTCTGACGCGATGCTTGCTGTGAGAACGACAACTCACGCCAAGAAAAGTCGTAGCCATGAGTGTTGCACATTCAAACGTGCATGTGCATAGATGTCTTGCCGCTCTCTGAGCCTGTCCTTGGCTACTCGGCCCACGGGCACGCTCGCCGAGGTGCTCAACCACTTGTGCGTCAGCAGGTCTCCCGCGGTAGGTCTTGTGCCTGGCCGCAAGGCTGGCACGTGAGGCTGCAAACAGGCTGTCAAAAAAAAACAGTTGAACTGAAACAAGGTAGGCTGAGAGTCGCTCCCTGCCCTAGGGAATGGGCTGCCAGTCCAACACCTTGAATCACATATGCTCTAAGTGCCAAGTGCCAAATCGTTGGTGCTAGAACCCAAAGCGGAGCTTGCCAAGTAGAAAGCAGCCGTCAGGCTATCAAAAAACGGCTTCGAAGGCGCGAAAGTTGCTCGTTTGGATGGGCCTGAATTCCACCGCTAGGTATTCACGCCTAAGATATTCAAAGGAAACCAACCTAACTAGGTCACTTCCCTTTGCCAATCCTCCTACTATTTCCAAATCCACTTCCAGTCTGGGGCAACAGGCAAACTAGCAGCCTCAGCCAAGCGAAAGTGATTGATGCAGGGAAGGCCCTCTGATTTGATTTGCGCGTCAAGATACTCAATCAAACCAAGGTCGCAACGCCAATCTCCCGGTTTTTGCGCCTTTTGCGCCGAATCCCAAAACCAGCGTCCCAACTTCGCCAGGCTGCGTGGGTCATAGGTCAGCATCAGCTTGATAAACTCGATGGCATCGCTGGACACATCGGACCAGTCCGCCGGATCAAACTTCACGTCGCCTTTCTTCACCTGAGCCGAGAGAAGCCGTAAGTCCAGTCACGGGCAGCTGGAACCAAAAAGGCTTGCTCCAATCGAACAGAACGTCAAGGCTGTGCCGGTGCAATGGGTACTTGTTGAGACTCACTTCCATCGGCTCGTGGCATCGTCTATTCAAGGCCACTGATTGACTCGGAAAGTCTACGATCGATAAAAGGAATGTGCTAACGCCCTACGAAAGCACTTTCGGCGTTTTGCGGAAACCATTGCTTCCATTCAGTCCAGGCAACCATCGCCAGGATCTCCTTGTCTTTCTCACCTGAGTATCGAAGAGTCTGGGGTTGTGCACGCAGGACGTGTGGCAAAGGACTAACGCTCGAAGGCGGCAAGTTGCTCGCCCTACAGAAACTTGTTTGTGGACGGCGAGGTTTTAGGGGCGTCTTGGGTCCACTTCAGATCACCGGCGTGGCCATGATTTGATCGTTAGGAAAGGAGAAATGAACCTTCATGGGTGAGAGGAACCGAGCCCAGGCCAAGGAATCGCGACCCCCGCTGTTTGTCCCCGGAAGCCAAGGAACATGGCTCTCGAATTCAACGACCAACAAATATGGCAAGCACCTTGCTTCATGTGGCTGCCTTCCTCTCGGTGCGGGGGTTCGCTCAAATCGCTTCCGCTCCCCAGTCCCTGCCCAGCAGCCGTAGAACGGCGGATAACCTCAGGGGGAACCGAAAGGTCCGACCCGCATGTCCAAAACGGTCACTTTCAAGGACGAAACAAAGGGAAACCATCAAACCCAAATGACCTAAACCGTGATGGACGTGGTTCTCAGTCTCTGGTTTCATGGACGTGAGTCAGGGCAGCAACTTGGCCTCCCTGCAACAAAACGCGCTGCTCGAGGCCCCCTCTCTAAATGGGCCCCCACCATCCCACACGCAACGATGGCTGATGAGAGCTGGATGAAACATGAACGATTCTAACCCCACGAACTGTCAAGCAGCCGCACAGAAGGATGTAGCAAATCACCCCGCAGCTCCAAATGTCACACTTCTCATCGTAGGCGCCGGTCAGAACCTTCCAAAACAAATGCCGAATTGCTGCCTTCATCTGCCACCCTTGGCTGCCTAAACACTGCTGCTGGTAAGCCAAGCATTGCTCAAACGTTGACGGAATTCCTCGCCTCCACAGTCCCTGCCTGTATGCAGTCTGGACCAACCGTGCCGGACTGTCTGAACCAACTGCTCCGTGATCGGACCAACCATTCTCAAAATCCGTTTGTCTCGGTGCCTGAGGTGCCACATAGTAGGGCGTGCCGGCTCGGGTCTTCATGGCGTTCCCCGAGCCCGGGACAAAGTGCTTGGCGAGACCAAAGTCAATGACCTGCCGCTGCATTGTCGGCTTCGGCAAAAAATTGAGAGAGGTCAACAGGAAGGATTGCAGCTCGGTGAGAGAGGCCTTCTTTGAGGCCAGCGGGTGCTACAATGGACATGTCCTGAAACTGGAAATGTTTTTGGCTTCTCCAAACTAGCCAGCCACGCCAAACAAACAACCATCGCGAGAGGGCTCAACACTGAACTGGGCCTTCATTTGCAAAAAAACGAGGAGGTTCCTCTTTTCCGGAGGCGGTATTTCTTTTGCTTGGTGAGCCCGAGGATTATCATCTACGTGGGAATCTAAGCCCACCACGTGTGAATGTACTCCAACTTTGGAAACTGCCGCGGTATAACTGATTCCACTCCGCCCACTTCTCAGCTCTGGGGGAAAGAAAAAAAAACTGCCTTGATCTCCGCGTTGGGCTCGTTGTTCTGCATCAGGAAGTTCTCCGGTTTGATGTCCCTATGCACAAAGTTGTTCTTGTGCAGGTAGCTCCTCGTGGTGAAAACCCGAACACCCCTGGCACTTTCCCAAAGCCAAGAAAAGACTATAACCCCCAAAAGCTGCTTCCCGCCCCAACCTCCAGCCCGCCACTGCTCCACGTCGCCGCCCCCACCCGCGCGTTTTCCCCACGCTTTCACGCGCCGAGCGTCATGGCGCCCAGGATCTGCTGCATGTAGGTCGCGGCGCCGCGCTCGTCGAAGGCTCGAGCACCGTCCTCGGATCAAGTGGATCGCTCGTTGGCAAAGCCTCGCTGGTCTCACAATGAATTGGACCCGGAGACTGCAAAAAATAAGAGGTTCCGTGGTGGAAAATGCAGTCGAAGAAAAATGATCTGATTTCTAACCTTTGCAAAAGTTCAAAAGCACCAGGTGTCCATGATCCGCTTGAGTGCAATTGAATGTCCTAAGATTAGCCACTTGCAGCTACAACATTTGGGTTCGTGACTGAGACTTTCCCAACCAAATCAAGTCTCGTTGACCCTCCCGTTCCACTAGAATATCCAGTTCCCCTGCAACCCGTCCCCATTCCAAAAGCAGCTTGTCCACCGGCCACATGTGACTCGGTGGGTTGCGGCCGCCCCTTCCCCAGCTTCCAAGCGAGCGGCGTGCTTCTCGGACTCCGCCACGATGCGCTCGAAGAGCTCCCCGCCAGTACACAACTCCATGACCTCGTCGGCTCGTCGGCTCGTCGGCTCACGCAAGCCGAGCACAAAAGGGAAAGCTTCCCAACGGCTATGTCCACTCAAGTTTGGGGAAGAGGGCAAGAGCGGAAAGCTCAATCTGTGATTCCATTGGCCAGTGCCGAGGCATTGCAAGTCAACCAGCAACCAATCCTCGAGGACTGAATTGGGGAATTGCAACGCTCCTTGGCATTCAGAGGCTTCAGAGGAAGAATAAGCAGAGCCCTTTCAAAGACGACCCAAGTCGAGATGCGATTCTCAGTTCTTCCATTCCAGTGGAGACAAAGGTTGAGCGAAAGCTGAAACAGCCCACTCAATCAAAGAGCATTCCAAAAGAAAGACCAAACATGAACAGGCTTGCAAAGCATCAATTTAAGTTCAGAAAGGCAAAAACGACGCACATACTTCCTCGCATCGCCGCTCTGGGGCTCCTGCCAAGTAGAAGCGCTTGGCATCCTGGAACACCTCGCGTCTGTGTTTGGTTTCAATGCAGCCCCGTTTCTCACGATCGTCTGCATTCCAGCAACTGCTGGTCAAATAAGTTGGCTGAAGTTTGGCATCGGCGCACGTTGGGCTGGGATGGCTTGGCTCTACATAGGCGTGGATGGTCCAGGTGGACAACATAAAACGGCAGCCTGCAAAGACCTCTGCAGCACACGCATGGCCCAAATCCAGCCAACACATCTCAGGTGCCCAAAAATGTGCATAATGTCCTTCCGACACTTACAAGCCACACGGTTTCCCCACAAAGTGGAAATTACTGTTTATGTATATTGATTTCTCGGTTTGTCCAAATACGTGCTTTCACATGACTGCTGCCTGACTCCCCAGTTGATCACCTCAAACACGGAAAACGTGGAGTGTGCGTCTGGAAGATGATGAGAAATACTTTTGTATAGCTGGAAAAGCTGGAAGAAACAGGAATGTGTCCATAGGCAAGAACCTCCTTTCAGGCTGGAACAACTGTCTTCCCTTTGTCAAAGAATTTGTAGGCTCGCGTCTCGTCATTTTTGTGTGGAAACATTGTGTTTAGAATTATCCAAGGTAAAAACATATCGATCAATTTTCAGAACATCTCGGAAGACAAGGAGATGGGATCGAGCTCTCCTGATCTCCCAAATGCGCCCTGTGTTGCTCACCCGCCTCGTAGAGCTTTACGATGTTAGGGTGATCCAGGGAGGACTGGATGTCCACCTCGACTTGGAAGCGCGCAGGGTCCGCGATCTTATGTCTGTTGATTGCCTGCCGGTGGCCATTCAAAGCGCTCCTTGTCTCAAAGACTTGAACTCAACTAATGCGCCGCTCTCCCGCCTTGATCGCCCGCACGGCACCTGTGTCCTTGTGCGTCCCTTTGCACACCTGTCCGTAGGAGCCTTCGCCCAACGGCTTCTTCTCTACCTGACAAGGTCAAAAAATAAACTTCCAAAGACTCTACACCTTGAATTCCATTTAGGCATGCGTCACACTTACTTGCAGCTAGGGCACATTGTACACATCATCCAACTTGTTTGGGTTTTCGGCGCAGAACCTCAGGAGAAAGCCATGGGTTTGTACGTGGGCCCAACGCAGCTGAAGTTGTGCAAATTCAGCGTCACAAAAATACCAAGAAAGGAAGAAAGCATCGCGTCAGCAGAATCCTGGAGCCTTGGCGGCTGCAACACAACTCCTGAGTGAGCTTGGTCAACAAAGATGCATTGCAACAGGTTTGCTTTCTGACGGTTATTATAGTTCTAGAGCAAAGCCGCAACATTGTCAAAATCATCCCCAACTCCCCCCAACACCCCAACTCCGCCCACGGCCCGCCCAAGCACCGCCTGAAACGCACCAGCCAAGGGGCGTGTGAGAGAATGTGGTGGTGGTCGCCGTGGTGAGCTTTTTCGGCGCCATTGCTCTCACTTAAAATGTTGCGGACAGCTCACTCCGCGAGCTAAGCGTTGAATGTTCGCTGCTGTGCCGTTTGCTTACACCTCAGACTGGCTGGCAAGAGGAAGGGAACACTTGGGTTTGGTGAAGTATTGCTTGAAACTCTGACCCATGTCGCTGCATGAGGATCCAAATTGAGAAAGTACGAGCTGGTCAACCCGAATCGTTTTCACTACAGCACAAGCGCAACAGTCCTTTGAAACAGGCGAATTGGACGCTACAAATGTGATTTGCGGCTTTGGAAGGCAAACATTTGCGCAGGAGAAGCCTAGTTTTCCCTGAATGATACCGCAGAACTTTCCGCAAGAACGTTCAAAGTCCCGTGTGCTCGCACACCTCATCGAATGCAGTCTGCAGCAAAGCCAACAGAGTTTTCAGAGTCCAAACAAACTGTAGATTCCCCAAACAAACTGTAGATTGCCTCCTTTTGCCCAAGGGTTCTGAGAACTCCCAAAAGGATCAGTTTCGTCATCCGGCCCATCCCACATCCCGCGCAACCTGTGGTTCTCAAGTGCTGGTTGCCGCGGGAAAGCCACACAGCAGCCAGGCCGCACAAGCCTGGCACTGTGCCCGCAGCATCTCACAACTCGTTGAAACCAAACGCGGCACCAAAGACAATGGGCAAGGATTGACCGCCTCCCCCATTTTGCACGAACCCTTCCATCAAGGCTTCACCGCTCGAAATAATCCATGTCGGGCAAACCCAAGAGGGTTGCAAAGATCCACACCTTGTCAGCGCTGCGCCGCTCCAGTCAAGTGGTAGAACAACTTGCAAACAAATGTGGTTCTCATTGAGACACTGCATCCCCAAACTCCTCAACACATGTGTCACCCCGTCGCTGTGCGTTTTCTTTTTGAGGGTAACTGTTTCCCAAACCAAGATGCCCTCTGCTCCTACATTGCAACAAGATGGGGCCAAAAATACAACTACATTTGTCCCTCAAGCAACGCTCGCACCACCAACCAAATCCTACATCATCATCATTTGTGCTTCAAAGATTAGAGCCCGTGTTTGGCTCTCAATCAGGCCGCCATTGAAACCATGAGGGCAGATGCAACCCTCTCAGGCCCAAGCTCTTACGCATCCGCTGGTCATGGCCGGCAATCGCGAGTTTTCCGGCTGTCGGTAAAAATCACGTGTTTGACCGCCTTGCAACTGTCACATTGGTGCGACGTAGGGCTATCTGCTTCCCTTGCGAAATGGCACGCCGGTCAAGCATACACATTGCAATGACAAACTAAGTTTGTTCAATGTGGGGGTTTCGCAAAAAAAAAAAAAAAAAAAAAAAAAAAACGTGATGGGCAAATAAGGTGCCTTCAGGATATAACTGCTAGCGCTAATACTACAACCTGCAATGACGGAAGCCACAAGCATCGCACGGGCTTTCAAAACTGCCAAAACGACCCAAACCCGGCAGGCTGCAAAGGCAGCTAGCAAACGATCAGCAAACCGCGTTGTGCCCAACACCCTATTGCGTGTAGTTGCAAACGGCGCGCAAAAAAATATGCTGCCACAACATCATGCTTCCGTGGAGTCTGCACAGCTGTTGAGATGACTTTGCAACCATGACAACAACACGTGTATACACACAGGCATAGAACTGTTGCAAGTGTTGCAACAACCAGAGTCAGCACTGTCTTGTCCCATGGACCCTTCTTCAAACCTGGACTGCCCAACACGCGCGCCGCCTGGAGAATTAAAGAGGGTCCGTTGAAAGAAGGTAGTCATGCCAGTGCTTCAATGGAAGGTCTTTCGGAATCAGAACATGTTTGTTGGGGGAACAAGCTACAACGACACGATGTGTCTGCAGGGAAGTGGGACTAGAGCTGACGTCCGGTAGTCTGCATTTCAATACAAACGCTGTTTTGAGAGGTTACGTACAACTTGCACACTCGCAGTACGATCATAGACACTCTCAGGAGATGCAACGTCAAAGATCATGCAGCTACAACTGCTTTACAGGCTGCATGACGCTACGTGTTGCGCAACAAGACTGTAAAATTATCCCGGTTTCAAAAGGTTTTCACCCGGAAATGCATCTGCAATGGGCTAGCCCGGAATCGGCTGCGACCTCCGCAGGGTGCTGCCGCAGGCCGAGACTCAGAGTTGCACATGGTATTGCAGGGTGCTGCCAGGTGCTATTGCAGGGTGCTGCTGCAGGCCGAGTCTCAAGTGTTGCGCAGGGTTCTGCTGCGCAGGGTGCTGCGTCAGCACGAGACGCAGAGTTGCGCAGGGTGCTGTTGCAGGGTGCTGCTGCAGGGCGCCGTTGCAGGGTGCTGCTACAGGCCGAGACTCAGAGTTGCCCAGGGTCCTTTGGCAGGGTCCTGTTGCAGGGTGCTGCGGCAGGCCGAGACGCAAAGTTGCCAGTTGCAGAGTGCTGCTGCAGGGCGCTGCTGCAGAGTGCTGTTGTCGAGTGCTGCTGCAGGCCAAAGCTCCGAGTTGTGCAGGGTGCTGTTACAGGCCGAGACTCAGAGTCGCGCCGGGTGCTGCTGCAGGGCGCTGTTGCAGAATCTGGCAGCAGGCCGAGACTCAGAGTGGTGGAGGGTGCTGTTCCGGGGTCTTCCGGCGCCGGCGCGCCGGGTCCCGGCACTGCAGTCTTCCCGCAATCTTCCCGGATCTTCCTCCCCGCCACTTTCTCTTTCTGCTCTCTCGTGGCTTGCTTTCTCCATGCCCAACAAATACCTGAGCGTTTGCTCTGCCATGCGAAGTTCTGTTCGGTTGTGGAGGATGCTGTCTTGGCTGTAGCCGGCGCTCTGCAGGATGAAAATCGCGAGTCGAAGGACGCATGGCCCCGCCGCCTATGCGACCAAGGAGGCGCTTGAAAGCAAAGAAGCCGGCTTGTCGAAGGATCTCGTCCGCATCGGCCCTGGCCGGCTCCGCCATGCTGAGCGCAGCACAGAAGTCAAAGTTATCTCAAACAAACATGCACGCACATGTATGCAAAGACAGTGTTTCGATGCGCCGCTGCGCAAGCTGCCGGATGGTTCCTTGAGACTCACAGAAACAGCAATGCGCAGACAGCTGGTCAGGCATCAACAGAACATGAAACAGACCGCCAAGCAGAGCAAATGCAAGGAGACAGTGATGCATTTCTTTCCGCGAGAAGCGCTGTGTGATTAGCTGTGGCAATCAGCTGGATTGTCCGCACAGTCCGCGTCAATTCCAACTGCCTTCTGCAGCAAAAACTCTACAGTCCGCGGCTCTGGAAGAAACCCTCCACGTCGGGCGGCAAAACCTTGTTAGTCTTCGCAGCCCAGTCGCGCGCCGTTTTTTGCGATCTCCTTGTGATCGGCAGCCACACTGCGCGCGAGAATGATTCGAAGCTCGGCTTGGAGAAGAAGCTGCAATACCTCTTTCTCTACGCAGCGGAAGCCCGAAGTCTGACTTGCGCGGCACTACGTTGAAGTAGCACACGTAGACCACCAGCTGGACCGTGTTGGCCATCAGCACCTGTCCTTGCACCCGCAAGAAGCGCACACACAAACGCACACACATACACACGCACACACACACACACACACACAAACCAACAGAAAAATGCAACCGCGCGCACGCATGCATGCACATATGCACACAACAGCTGCTTGGGCACGTGCCCTGCGCGCAAGTTGCTCTGCGCAAGTTGCTGAGCGCAAGTGCTTTGTGCACTTGCTCTGCTCAAGTCGCGCTGCGCAAAGTGCTCTGTGCAAGTTGCTCTGCGCACGCCGATCGACCACGCCGACCTCAAAAAATGTTTGCCCCGACGCAGCGTTCCGTGTCAGGCACGCGTCTGCTCCAAGCAATGCGGTGAAAGCAAATGAAAGAAACAAACATCAGGTAAGACAGAAAAGGATGCCGTCGTGCAAGCCCCGAAAGAAACCAAACAGACAAACAAAACAGGAACACAAACAGAAACAGACAAACCAAACAACAGCAAACGGAAAAACCGACAGGGGGGCACAGAGGCCAGGCATATACAAGTTCTGTACACGCAAGCCGCTCACACGAAAGTAAATTCATGAAAAGCAAATCAATTCCAGTTCTAGTTGACTGCTGAAGCCAGCGCTGCAAGAAAAGGCTCATCTGTAGCAAGCACGAAAAGCCGCCCCAGCGGCCAGAAAATCCATGCACAGCAATAGCAGATTATGGATCGAATGAGGATTGCAAGACTCTCGTCAAGCCAAAATCCAAGCACGGCAAGGCCGACCATGGATCAAAGAAGATTGTCAGACCCACTGCAAGGCCTCAGCATCCAAGGAGGCGACAAGCAAAACAATATGGCAAGGTGGGAATAATGACACATCGTTCAAATGTCAGCTTGAAACGTAGCAAGGAGGTCGAAGTCCTTGAGAGCACCAGCAAAGTCATTGTTGTTTCCCAAAGCTATCAACCAGCCACCCCACCGGTGAAGGCGCTGCGCGGTGTACCCCAACTCCACGGAGATGGGACCCCCCAAGTGTGTAATCACCAGAGGGTGCCAGGCAAAGTTGCTCCGTGCCATCCATCTGTCCAGCAACAAGCCAACCCTGTGCGCCGTAGCGCACCAGGCCAAGTCAAATTCAAAACATCATCATCCTGCAAAGTGTACCAGAGTGCCATCCCCACACTAGAAGCTGCTAGGAGAGCTGAATAGCCAACTTGGACAGCAGCAACAAGCCAAGTTTGTCAAATCCGGTGATTTTGCACAACTTCCCAGTTTTGCCTTACTGCACGTGCAAAATGAGCTGTTTACATGCATTTTGCCCGAAATTTAAGCCACTTGACAAGCTTGACAAACTTGACAAACTTGACGCGGGGCGGACCAGTATCAGACGGGTTGGGCAAGCCAGTATCAAACGAAGCCGGCGCCGGCCCAACCCGCCGAAGATTGCCCGGCCCAGGGAGCCCTGTCAAGCTTGTCAAGTTTGTCAAGGTCAAGTCTGTCAAACCTCATTTGTGAAATCTAAAACCGCTCACAGCGCATCCTCAAAGCTTATCATTCAGCGTTTGTGGATTCTCGGGAAATTGGTGGTGATTTTTTACCTCGCTCGGTGCGGCCACAGCCCTTCTGCTTGCACTTCTGCAAGGGTCTTCAGCTTCAATATGCAGGCAAAACGGGTCCTAGTCGCATTCTGTGCGTCTCGGAAGTTCAAGTTGCCCGGGCTTAAAGCGCTGCTTCTGGCCTTGTAAGTGCGTTTCTGTCGCGGAGCTTTGTGGCTTGAAAAGCCTTCTGCTCATGCCCAAGTGCCTTCTTGGGCGCAGGCGCTCCCTGGGTGCTCCCTCCAGTCTTCTTGGCAGTCAAAGTGGCGCAGTGGTTGGCGTGTTGGGCCGACGGCTGGCAGCAAAAAGAACGCCCCGTACCCATCTCGCCGTCCGGGCAGGAATCCGGAGCAAGAACCGGCAAAGTGCCTTCGGCCACTGGACTAAGGCGTCGGCGAAAACATGTGTAAAGATGTTTGAAGGACCAGTCACCGGCAACATCCCGGAGGTCCTGGACAACGGAGAGGTGACGGAAGGCAAACACGTCACCGCAAGGGCAGCTGGCCGTCGCTCTGACGCCCTACGTGGCAGACCACGGCAGCATCGGGCAACAACGCTGCTGCCATCCAGTCCCTGGACGACCGGGTCACTGCACGTCCGGACGGGCAGGTGGCTGCCCACAGGAGCAGCGTCGCAGCGCTGCAGAGCTCGCTGACTTCGCACGCTGGAGGGGCGTGGTGGCCACGAAAAGCGTCCGCCTTGGAGGCCCAAGATGGACCGTCTCGGCTTGCGAGCTCGGAGGCCAGCGCTGGCCGTAGTTGGCAGCCACCGTGGCCAGCGTGGCGTTGTTCGCCGAGGCGATGGAACCGCTGCAGCCCTCGACGTGGCCCTCGCTGGCAAGGCGGACGCAAGCGCACTGGCCGCCCTGCTTTCCACGGTGGACGGGTTGGACACGCCGCTAGAGGTAGACACAAAATGGCCAACCTCGATACCAGGACATTATTGAGTCAATATTGAGTCATTAATGGCAAAGGCAAGCCGGGTGATGCAGCTGATCGTCACCACCAACTTTGAGCCCCGGGCGCTGCTGACAGAGACGTGGTAACCCACTGAGCTACGGGGCCCTTGGGGTGACAAGGCAGCCAGCCGAGCTTGTCATCGTTTCTGTGACAAATGTCATCGTTTCTGTGACAGATGACATCGCTGCAAGGTATGTCATCGTTTGTGTGGCAGAAGTCATCGTTTCTGCGGCTCAAAGAACACGGTGCCAGCCGCGCAACACCAGCTTTGCGGCACGGTACGTGAAATTGATGCGCACATGTTTCTTCACCGCATAAACACACGACGTACACTCAGCATTGATAATAGCTGTCCCTGCCAGGTTACTGGCGCAGGGTTGCTGGACTTCAATCATGACGTGCATTTTTCAACACAAGCGTGAAATCCCACTGCGGCAAACTGGTATACGCCATTACGAAAAGAGCAAGAATACCTCTTACAATTCTACGCAGGCCGAATCACCTGTTTCTTGGCAGTAGTTCACATTTGCTGTTGTCCAACCCAATCATGGCACCTCTAATTTGCACCATTGCATGCATTGTGGGCACGGAAGGTCAAAAAGGATGAATAAGCTTGAACATCCTTCTGGGCGCTTCTAATCTTTGGGGAGCTGACTTGAGCAGCCGCATGGCAATATCTTGCGCCAAAGCCCTCGAGATTGCCTGTGTTTGGCTCTGCCAAACTCCTTGTGACACTCCGTGCAACAGGAATCTGCCTTTAAAAAACTACCCCAGACGACTGATTCCGGACCCTCACCTTTGACATCTCACACAAAACAGACATCCCCTGTCATCTTTATCATGCCCTTGCCCCTTGCCTTTTTTCTCCCACCGCAAAGCCGTCAGTTGCTCATACCAAAACTACGCAAAAATGAGCGGGAAAAATGCTGAGCCATCGTGCGTGGCCCAACTATCCGCTGCCTCTCCTGGTAACTGCACCGCTCTGACCCGACATATGCGATGAAGCTGTCGCATCGAACGAAAGGTCGCCATTGTTCCTGCACTGTTCCAGCAAGGGCATTGCGGCGTGCCTGCTCCAGCTGGTCCACTTTGTCCTGGCTGGTCCACATCTTTGCTTGGCAGCTCACTCTGAAGCCCGAGAAGCAGACATAGAAGTCAACAGCCTCATAGCCATCTGGTGTGAAGATGATCAGTGCTTGTTCTTGGTGTTGCTGCTCCTTGCGCGCAACCCAATCACAAAATTCCTGTCCCTTCATGTTGTCCTCTGGCAGCTCCACCATGACGGAAAAGCCTTGCTGCAACATGTTCTGCCATGTTGCCAGTGGGACCTCCGGCAGGATGCTTTCAGCAAATTCGCACATCTGACACCTCACCTGTGAAATTCAGAAGCCTACCAACAGCCGACCAAACAGGGGGGTAAATTGCAGTGGCTGCTTTGGACACTATCCCATGTCCTGCAACTGCATCAGTGCCAGGGCCACCACACCGGCTGTCCCACGCTCAGCCCGCTGCGATGGTTTCCACCATTCCACGCACTTGTGGCATCTTCTTTGACCAAAACTGAAGGGCGTCGGGGACTCTACCACCCTGGTGTCTGCGCAGTGAAAGAATCTTTTCCACAGTTTCACTGCTAGGCATCGGAGGCAAACAAGCCTCTTCCATGCTTTTAACAAGGGATAAAACCAGATCCGGCAGCTTCTGGTAACCAAAGCCTCGTTGTTCCAAATCCTCTTGTCGTTCTTCCCTTTTCAGGCACTGTATGAGCATTGCCAGCAGTCGCGGCCAGCCGCCTGCACAAAGAACCAAGTTGTCCACGATTTGATTGCCAGGCTCGGACGCCAGCTGGTCTGTCAGCACCTGGCAGCACTCTTGCTGCGATAAGCTTCGTAGCTCGCAGAACAATATGTTGCGATTGGTCCCCGTCGTGCTCTTCGGGTTCCATACCCGCCAAGCCCGTGACAGTGCTGAAACTACCAGGAACACCTCCTTGTGCTTCTCCTTGTCCAGCAACGCGGACAAACGATGCCGTACCTCCTCTTCAGCCGAGTTGCTGTCCGTCCTTCCCCACACTTCTTTATTGCTGGCTTTGCGCAGCTCGTCAGCGGTGATGACGACCGTTCGTTTAACCGAACTGGTTGATCCTGCTGGGTACCAGTTGTGTAAAATATCCACAGCGGAGAAAGGGGTAGCTTTTTGACGTCCTGCTCATTCACTGCATCCCGCAAATCCTCGAAGGCTTTGAGGCCACACTCTTTAGGCACGGTGCCGCCCATGCAGCTCAAAGCCCCAAAAAGCATTCGCAGCGCAAGTGGTGCCAGCTTGTCTGCAATCTCCAGACCACAGTTCATATTCTCATTGTACGTGAAAGGCACTGCAATGACATGCTCCAGTGGAAGGTTCGCACGTTTTGCCAACAACTCCGGCAACGCCACCAAAAAAGTGGTCTTTCCAGCGCCGGGCGCTTGCCAGATTGCTGGCAACCTGCTACCGTTCTCCTGCTTTGAAAAAGCTGTCTGTCTGCGGCGTTCCTCAAACTGAGCAAACAGCCGTTCAGAGACTTCAGAGCGGCCCACCAAGCTCACAGAGCCGTTTGACCACTGCAGCAGTGCCGAACTGTCGCAGATGGGATTCCTTTTCCAGTCGTAGATCTTGTCCTTGCCAATGCACGTGCACCTTCCTGTGGCTGCCTTGCTGCACAATGCTGCCAATACACGTTCATGCAGTGGGAGATCGGGTGAGACCTGCGCAACGATTCGCCAAAGAAATGACACAAGTTTCAAAATCAAGTTTGGATTTCATGCCACTGTGGGCGTAGGGGTTTCAAGCTGGGGTAGGGGGAAAAGGGCTGGCAAGCCAGCAACGTCACCAACGTTTGCTTTGACCCTGGATTTTGCGTGCGGCCAACCGCATGCCTCGCGATGAGAAATTCCAATTCAAACCAAGGGGGACCTTGCGATGTGCATCAAAATCGAGGGAAGCAGAAAGCTCGCACCAGCAACCTTGCGCTGTCGCAAAGCTGTTCTCTGACGTCGCACTTGGGGGCGAGGGATCGTTGCAAGCGGCTTGTGCCCTGCAAATAAGCAGCAAGAAAATGCAAGCGCGACTGGAACAGCAGGCTCTTCAATATTTGCGGGTTCCCCCTCGACTGATTGATAGTTTTGCGCTCCACTAACCACTCACACCAAGCTGCGCAATGATAGTCCAGCTGCGCAATGATAGTCTCGCAACTCATGAGAGAGTATTTCTTCTCCTCCTGACGTCTGGCCCATGTCTTGTTTGTAAAGGACTGCCAGCCTTCAGACTCATGCAAATCTGCAGCAACACATTTTGCATGTCCCCAAAGTTGTCCTTCTTCGCCTTGCCCTGCAACTTCAGGCCGCCTGCATCCTTTTTCTCTCCATAACGACATTGCGCTGCAATGAACTCGAGCTTACCAGTTGCCTTGCATCTCACAGGGATCAAAAGATCGTGGTGAGCCGTTGCAAAATTCCGGTTGGACTTGATGGCCTTCCCAACGTCACTCCTGACAGTTGCTTCATTGCCTTGGCTTCGAACGGCTCCAAAACAGCTCGCAAATGTGGATCCTCCGTAGGGTAGATCTCCAAAAAAGGCCCAGGTGACTTCAGCACTCAGGTTTCTTGCTACGCAGTGAAGGCGGAAGCGCACTGCCAGGGAATTTGCAACCAGCTCTTCCCACTTCTCCCCCCTTTCAGTGGCACCCCTTTTTGGGCTGTTGAGCAACTGCAAGGAATCTGGCAGGAGCCCGTTCAGCTGTTTCAAATCGTTTCGGATGGCGTCTTTGATATTGGTACCCTCACAACCACCACAGCCGTGGAACCAGTACGGACTTGTTGTTTGGAAATGCTGCTCCTGCCCTGAAGATGTCTGACCACCTCAGTAAGGTTCCGGGCACAAGCTGGTGGCCTTCTGCAGGCCATCGAACCGCCGAGCAAAGAACCAACGCCAAAGCCACTTCTGGCTGATTGAAGTAGGGGGCTGCATCCGCAAACGAGCTCCTGAACTCCTGCCACATGGCATTGAGTGCAACCTGAGCAGTTGATGCCAACTCACCCCAGGTCTGGAAAGCCGCCTCCAGAAGCCGGCATACCCCAGCCGAGAAGAGGTGAATGTTGTCGAATTCCTCCTTCTTGTATTGCGTGCCTCCCCACTCTGCCATGGCCCGTCTGGCGGCTTGCAGTGACAACGGCGGTAGAGCCAGTACTTCCTGGACCTTAAGCACGGTGTAATCCTCCGATGGCCTATCAATCAAGATATTCACCGTGCCTGCCAAAAACATGCCCATCTTCTGCGGGAACTTGCTGAATATCTCGGTGAAAGCTGACTTCTGTCCACCCGACTGACTCCGTCCCTCCACCTGTTCTTTCACAAGCAGCTCGGCCTGATCAAGGAAAATCAAACAAGCGCAGTCTGGTGTTGCGTTGAAGGCTGCAGCCGTCACCAACAGCCACTGCTCGAAGACATCCTCCCTGTGTCGACAAGATGAGCGAAGCCAAACTTCAAAGCTGTTGCTCCCCTCATTTGGTGCCGATGCACGCTTGAGGGCCTCCAGCACTGCAATGAACTCCATTCGCTGAAAACTCACCAACCGCCCACTCACTTCGATGTTGTAGCCGTGCAACAAGTGTGACAGGTGCCACACGACGATAGCAGAACCAATCCTACTGGGAGCTTCCTGCAATGCTTACCCTGCAATCTCTCCAGCATCAAGAACCAAAAGCCGTCCACATCTTCGGCTTGCTGCAAAGCTCGCGTCCTTCCGAGTGTCGGATGAGCGATGTCTTGCCCGTTCCCCGCGGGCTCCACAAGGTCACCACCGTCGGCTTGTTGGTCCCGTTCCTTTGGATCTTTTCTAGTTGCTTCACAACACTCTCAACAACCGCCTCCCTTTCCAGAAACGGCCTCTCATCCTTGGGGAGAGTGGCGTCAAATATGTTCAGGTTCTGTGGATGTGATCAGGGCAGCCCCACTGAAAGCATTTCCGCAGGGGAAATCAAAACCACACAAAACGCCAAACGGCACGTCTCAACGTCAGCCGGCAGCAGAAATACATTGTGCACACTTTAGCAATCTCCTCCATGCTCATGCTGTCGGAACAAAATATAACCTTCGGATTGCATTGTGTCTGAAGCAGCAACGATCATGGCAGAAGGGTAGGTCTTGCTCTTCAAAAGGCAGGCGACTGGAACAGCAGCCTCTTCAATATTTGTGGGGTTCCCCCTCGACTGTTTGATAGTTTTTAACGCCACTAGCCCCTCACACCAAACCAGGCAAACATGAGCGGGTACATCAAAAATTGAACACTAGAAGAGGATGGAATGGCAGCAAGACGGGCCAAACCATCGAGCAAGAACCCTGCCCTTGGATGCAAATCCGGGAATGGTTGAGCTCACTGCATCAAAGGCAACATTCACAGAATGCACTTGTGCCTTCAGCAGCAAGGACCCCAATGGGTGCAAAGACATCAGAGTTTGCCTTCCCTCTCCCCGACGGCAGAAGGGCGGGTCTTGTTCTTCAAAAAACAGGCTGGGGGCAATTACAGACAAGAAGAAGAAGAAGAAGAGAAAGAAAAAGCAACAGGAGAAGAAGAAGAAGAAGAAACAGAAGCAGGAGCAGGAGCAGTTACAAACGCAACACAATGCATGAACGATTCGCCTTTATGGAAGGGTGGCATGAGCGAGAATCAAGGACCTATGCTGCAACAACTCCCCCTTTCAGGCAGACAGAGATTAAACCAGCACACAGGCTGCTACTACCAGTCAACCTCAACCCATTCCGACTCGTTTTTTTCACATCTTCAACAGCGTGCACCTGGCTCTCAAGAGTGAAATTCCTCAAAGCCGCCAATAGCAAGCCTGTTTGGCTCGCAGCAATTAAATAATGTTTCTTATAGTCAGCTTCAACTGACGCTCTTGTATGCTGACGTTTACACCGTATTCGACCAATTCAGCAGTTGTTGAAAATATGGCTCCCCTTCCTTTGGATGCCAGCCATGTTGCCTCCCATGCCTTCTGCAAATGCTCTCCACGCGCCAGCGTAGCTTTTTCTGGTCCCGCTCAGTGGGCTTTTTGCCGAAGGGAACCATCGCCGCAGTGTGCCTTTCACGAGCTCACCAACCCGCGCAAGTTGCTGCAGTCTTTGCGCGTTCTGGCACCATTGCAGAACCGGAAAATTGCAAAGTTTGGAGTGTCCGCTCGCGTCTACGCAGTATGCTACGAAAACAGTCCACGGGTTGCTTGCAAAGGAAAACTTGCCGTCTGCCTCATAAATATATGGCTTGAAGAAGCAGTCGTACACGGTCTCATCAAAAAACTCTGCTGGGCAGTTGTGGATTCGACCAACTTGGGTTCCCAGCAAGGGGTCATCTCCGTCACAAACTCATCTCTCAACTTCGTGTTTACTCGTTTTTGCGTGTCAATCTTGGACTGTTCGTCCTTCCACACTGCTGCTGTGTATGCCATCAATGGCACAGTCAGTTCATCTTTTTCGGTGTTATCGATTGCGTGGCCGAATTTCTGTCGGGCATAGTCCAGCTCATGGACGGGTTTGCCACGGGAGGGAAACCCTGCGACACACACCAGCAAATGTAAATCCATTGGGAGTCATCCTGACAAAGTTTTGCCACGCTAGGGCCATGGCTGAACCGTGATGAAAGTGCAGGTTGGAGTCTTCCCTGTTGACTCGGAGGAATCCCTTGAGAGTGTCCCATGTTGGGATAGTTCCTTCCTGAACCTGGGTGTCCATCAACTCATCCAAGTGCAACATGTCACCTGGGCCCACATGGAACCCAGCGCTTGTTGCCCAAGCTGCAACTCTCTTAGCAATCCCTCCTTCGTTGCTCCAGGCTCGAAGCCCGCATTGAGAAAAGAGGCAAAGTCCAGGAAGCAAATCTCGGCATTTGGAAGGCGCGTCAACACAGTAGTTTTTCCCAACTTTACCATGCCATTGATGGCGCAGATGCCTGACACAGTCCTCCACCCACGCAGTCAACTGAGTAGAAGGAAGTCAGCTTATAGTCCCCTAATTATTTGGGTTTTTTGGTCCAAAAACCCTGCAAAACTGCATAATTTTCAACCAGCTGAACTCGTCACCAGCAATGTCACCGCTTCGTCACCGCTCCGTTTTTGGTGCAAAACGGCCAACTCCGAAAAGTTCGTTTTTTCTGCCCGGAAAAGCAGGCAAATTCCATCCCGCCAAGCTTGTCACCGTTCGCCTCCGCTTTGTCGCCGCTCGCTTTTGGTCGAAAAAGTGCGCAAAAGCGGCCAGTTCCTGAGCTCCGGAATCGCAGGGTTTTCCGCGGCCGAGGATCTGCTCGGAGCGCGGCAGCCCGCCGAGGTTTCGGCTTTTCACACGTCAGCCCGCCGAACTTGTCACCGCCTTTGTCACCGCTCCGTCTGGCTCCGTTTTTGGTGCAAAAGCGCTCAAAACGGCCAAGTTCGAAAAGTTTGTTTTTTGTGTCAGACGGTAAGTGGGATGCCTGAGCCTCAAGTTTCGCTCGTTTTCGGTCGACCAGACGCTTATTTTTTTTGCTCAGAATTCCGCTTTCCATCCCGAGTCACCGCTTGTCGCTTCGTCACCGCTCTCTTTTGGCCGAAAAGTGCGCAATAGCGGCCAAGTTCCCAAGAGGACTTTGTTCTTAATGGAATGTCTCGATTTATTTATGCGCAAGGCCCCCGGCCGCAGGTTATAACCACTCTGACAAGGTAGCGCTTGAGCCAGCTCTTGTACTTGGAAAAGCAAGGCCGGCTCCGCGGTTTCAGTCTGAGCGAGGCCGGCTCCGCGGCTTCGGTCTAAAAGTCCACCGAGGTCGGAATTCAACTTCCTCTTCCACCAAGGTCGGAATTCTGACTTTGCTCCAAGCTTCCAAGTTTGCCCGAAAAATCCTTCCGGCAGGATGCGTGGGGAGCATCAGTGTGGGCCACTGTTGCAGGGGCACCGGCAGAGGTTTCAGTCAATCCGTGTTGACAACAGGATTACTCCACTCAATCCTGTGTTGACAACAGGATTGCTCCACTCAATTCTGCGTCGTCGGCCGGAGTCGGCCCTGCTGCAGAGCTCCCAGGCCTCTGCACGTTGTTGTTGATGCTTTACCGATGGCTTAATGCCCCAAGGCGCGCGTGTGACAAAAAAAAGCACATTGTTGATGCTTAGCTGGAGTACTCCTGCCGCCCGGCGTCCGGCCTGGGCTGCGGCTACTCCGCCCAAGAAGCTGAGAACAGCGACAAGTTCCGTCGCTCCATGCTGGACAAAGGTAGGAGAGCATAAAACCGATTGGAGGTCACCCCCTCCGTTTCAGAAAGAACACTTCGAGAAAGTGCAAGGGCGTGCTTTTTGCACGAAACAGGCAATCCACTTTGACCTTTGACGACTCGGACGGGCCGCCTCCCCCGAGCAGGCAGTCCGTCTTCACCTGCGCAAGGTACCGCGCTGCCGCACATGTAACTCGGGAGCGCCCGTGTGGAGCGCAAGGAGGAGGCCTGGAAGGCGATGGACCGCGAGAAGCGCGAGGCCCCGAGACAGCGCTGCATTCGACGAGCGACGTCGCATCGGTGGCCCAAGTTCGGCTTTTTATCTTGTGCAAGGACGGCGTCACGGACTTTGGCGCTGGCCCGGTGATGGGTTTTTCGGGCAAAAAAGCGAAGTCTCGGTGTCGAGCAAAGTCGGAATTCCGACCTCGCTTGGCGCAGGCTCGGAGGCTGGAGGCTCCGACGCCGGGCAGGTGGGCGCGCCAGGGTGGAGGCTTCTATGCCGGGCAGGTGGCGCGGCAAGGGAGTTGGAGCTTGGAGGTTTTTTGGGCCCTTATAGGAGCCTATAGGAACCTATAGGAACCTTATAGGAAACCCATAGGAAGCCCCCTTCTTCTTTTCCTATGGACTTCCTATGAGTTTCCTATGGGTTTCCTATAGGTTCCTATAGGTTCCTATAAGGGCCTAAACTCCGAGCCAGGCCGGGTGGAGGCTTCTACGCCGGGCAGGTGGTGCGCCAGGGTGGAGGCTTCTATGCCGGGCAGGTGGTGCGCCAGGGTGGAGGCTTCTATGCCGGGCAGCAGGTGAATCAACTTTGAATCATCTTCAGTCAACAATGGATCAACAATGGATCAATATTGAATCATCTTGAGTCAACAATGGATCAATATTGACAGGTCCACCTCTCTCTTTTAGAGGGGGTTTCCCAAATGGATTCCATTCTACCTGACAGGCTCCTAGCACTCGTCCATCCAGGAAACGACCTCGTCCTGCGAAGGATTCGAAACCTAAAACGCTGCGTGGAGGCGTGTGGCTGCAAAATAATGACCCCTAGATACGCGCCGCAATTTGGCTCCAGGTTGCATTTCAAGCGAGGTCAAGCTTTGCCAAAGGAAACCACCTTTCCCTTTTTTTCGGGACCCCTTTTTTGGGACCCCTTTGTTCTGTTTTTTTTGTTTTTTCTTAGCCCTGCAAAGGTTGGCTCGCTTGAAATGCAACCTGGAGCCAAATTGCAAGCATATCTAGGGGTCATTATTTTGCAGCCACACGCCTCCACGCAGCGTTTTAGGTTTCAAATCCTTCGCAGGACGTCGTTTCCTGGACG